CCCATTGCACTCATAAACATTCATTAGGCCTATTTGTATATTACAGCATAAAACAACCATGCACATCTGTGTGTATAATGAGCAATTATGATAATTCAAAAAAAAATATTAGTAAACTCAAATATGATAATTAAAGTGTATTAGCCCCCTCTAATGAAAAACCTGGACCCACCTTTAGTGTAGTAGCAGGCTTTTTATTTTGTTTGGAATACCCCTATTCCAGGGGCGCAGTTACGTGATTCCCATGGAGAGGGCGAAAAATGTAAATGCGGAACTACAAATGATCAGTGACGTAACGGTCGAAAGACCCGAGCCAGGAGCTGGGGGCCAGTGGACAGAGTCTGTTGGGTGTGTAGTTAACTGTTAATTATTGAACTGCTCATGAATGTAATGGAAAATATCGCATTTTGGGCGAATTCGCCTTGTGCCACGGTATTCAACCTACTGCCCGCCCGCCGAAAATTTCGTTCCGGCCCGCTCAAAAATAAATTATTTTCCTGGTCAATTTTCAGTCATTGTTGCAAAAGAATTGAGACGTGGAGACGACATTCACATGAGTAAAAATGCGTTACTTATTCTCATAATTTTGGGCATAGGGGCCTACAAGAAAACGCTAAAGTTAGGAATAATGACCCAAGCGTTTTTTAAACGAATAGGAATGTCACCTAGTCTGACAGTGTTAGCAAGTGTCAGCTTTTTCTGAGTAGTTAACTATATCTAGTGGCGTTGAGTATTAATTGACTTGGGGAGAGGGCGTCTGATGGGAAATAAATAATTATGGAGGGGATAGGCTCGGAATGCATGAACCCATCGGGGAATTCTGGACCTTGTTGGGGAATAAGCCTATATTATTTTGGGAAAACTCATGTTTGAAAATGTATTTTTAAAGTCCAAGAGTGCCATTTCCGGGCATCTTATGTGTTTATTTTTTGCTTACCTCAGCCCCAAACATGGTGGGGCTGTGGTAGTGGTTCCTTTTTGGTGCTCGGGATATTTAATGGTACAGTAGAACTTGCAAGGTGCAAGTTTGCTTGGTGTCCACCTCTTCTCTATTCGATATTCCACTGCATAACACCCTCATTTTTAAAGACAAGGCTTACAGTATGTTAAAGTAAGCGCAAGTTGCATCTAAAAGGTGGAGCTGTCAATGAAAAAAAAACCATGTCGGCCCGCCGCTGGTCTCAACAAATTGGAACGGCCACCAGCTTAAAAATGTCTAGGGCCTAGTGGAAAAAAAACGACGGCCGTACGAATATACGAGGGCACATAGCGCCGGCCCGTAAACAATAAGGAAGGAAAAGAATACACTGTATTTATTTCGAATTACTGTACTGTCTGAGTTTATTCACATTTGGGATAAAAAATGAGTTTTTATTTTGTTTTAGTACGACTAGGCATATCATAGGTTTATGTGTAGGCCCACTTTGTTGGCCTAATCGAGTTCTACTTGCAGCCCTGCAAATTTTCCATTTTAGTACAGGCCAGGTTTAAGCCTAACACCAGCGGAACTTTTTGCTTTTTTTGAGGGGATATACGGCCGAACCCCCTGTACCCATAAGCCTACGCCCCGTTATTCAGAGAATATTACTATTAAGGGGACACTTTCGAAACGAGGGGAAATACGGTACATCATTTAACACCACGACCAACTCTTTGACACCCCAATAAGGAGGATACTTTCGGAGTGTGCCAAATAGCCAAAGAAACACTTATTCAACTCCTATTTAGATGATTTTGACTACATTTTTGTTGATTTGATATCATAAACTGTATTTTGATTACAAATTATTATTAAAAATTAGTTCAATTAACATTATTAGGAATACAGTAGAACCCCTCTTTTTTGGAAACCCCTATTCAGGGGACACTTTTCCGTTAAACGAGGGGAAGTATATTTCAGATCTGAAGTGTGACAAAATAATGGCCAGATACCCCCCATTATTGGAACACTTTTTTTTATTGTATCACAATTCAGCTTCAGCAGTCTCAGGGACTTAGGGACACCTCTATTTGGTATAGGGGACACTTTTGTGGTCCCAAATGTGTCCTTTTACTATAGGGTTTCCTACTGTGAAACCTTGTTGCCTAATGTGTAAGCCTATCTTGATTCGGTAGATGTAGTGTTGGTAGTGGTGGTAGTGTTGGCAGCGGCGGTGGTTGTGCTGATAGCAGTTGGCCAAATGACCAGGAAACTGGCAAATTAATTATAATATTGTATACTTACTCACACACACCGTCCACATAATATTTGCATTGGATACAGAAGAACCAGCATAAACTTAAGTATATTGTATTCCTAACTCTCATCCTAATCCAAAACATAACGTCTAATGATTCGATACAAATACAGCGATATGAGGAAGAAATAGAAAATACGTTTATCTCTGCTGCCAATGTTCAGTAATCCAAAAAGAATTGGTTCATTTGTCAATGCTTTTGAACTGTACCATTGTGTTCCGTAATGCTTGGTTGCAGGCATTAAATAGCAAATACGACTGTACATACGCCTTTCTTTGGATTTTGTGTGAATGCCGTATAAGGTTTCAGGAAACTAGGTTTGATTTTACTTTTAAAGCTTTATCATCTTTAGTAGGTATAAATATAATGTCTAAACGAAACTCCCCTGCGTGATTCTATATGCTGTTAGTCATTATAACGAGCGTAATGTAACACTGAAACCATTGTTAGTACTTACAGTCACTTCTACTGGATAAACTACCTGTAATATCTTAAGGTTACTCTGTTATTTAATTGATTGCAATACGAAGATCCTGTGGGTTTTATCACGGAAATAAATAAATATTTTTAAAAATTCAATAATAGTTACTCAAATACGAAGGTGGTCAATGAAACATAGTCATGTAGGCTAAATTGTAGATTATAGCAGAATGCTAGTATAGGCGAGTAGTATAAAGCAACTCGACAGTAGACCATTTTAATATAAGCCAGTTTATACAACTTAATTATAGGCCTTTTAACGCCAAGGAGAGAAATAACATATTTTGTCGGGGAGAGAAAAACACAATTATGAAATTTTGTTTATATCTTTTACATTTCTAAATTGTCACAGCTTCCTGGGGCTTGCTTCTAGACCTCTTCTAGTCTCTGACAACGGGCCTAATGGATCCTTTCCGCTAAGCCCCCTCCCCCATCCCCTTGGATATTGTTGCTAAGGTCCCATAAGACGACAGTGTTGAAACATACGCGAACACGTGCGTTTCTGGGACAACCCGTTCGCTTATTGGACAGGCGTGGATTCCAGGCACTGTTCTGATTGGTCAGTTGTTAACTTTGATTGACACTCAGGAAAGGTCTATTATGCTCTGGTCAGGGACACCGTCCGTCGCAAACATTCCCCCATCCCACCCTCCATCTGGTAAATTCTTGCGCAACCACGTTATAGTTCGACTTTACAGGTATACTGTTCTTATCTCAGATGTATTTTACCTTTAACCTTTGTGTCGTTATCGTGTGATACTTATGATTATAGTATAACAAATTGAATGTAAACGCATCTAGACGACCTCTGACCTCATGTAAATCTACTGTTCCTTTATCATACTGTGTGATTATTCGTTTTCGCTCTTTATTGTCATTTCGTCTTCCTTTGTGTTTGTTGTTTGATCTTTTTACAGTTGATAAATAAAATGTAATCCTTCTTTCAAAAAATGGTACTTACTGATACTCATGGGTGATATATGTGTATAAGGAAAAGATGGTACTAATGGTTAAATTATACTTTGATTAAAATAATCGTAACAAATAGGCCTACATTTAATAAAATTATCATACAAAACAATACGTAGAATACAAAGACTGTCTTTTATATCCTGGTAAATTCCGACTTAATTCCATGTGGTGAGAAACATGTGAATAACTCCGTCATGCCGTCAAGTGTAGCAACCGGCAATCCGACTCATCTGTAGATGCAGTAAGTAAGTAAGTAACTTTATTGCTTCTCTTTTATAACAGAGGCACAGCCGTAAAATACCCAAAAGTTTATGTTAAATTAAAATAATAACAAAGGAAATACCTTTACAAATGTTTGCTTTTTTTTATATATATTTTTATTTAAATACAAGCAAATTTACATTTTATTATATTAACAACAGACATTTAAACTAATGAAAAAGTGTTAGCACTAATTTATTAAATTATTATACACTAAATTAATAAATTAAAAGAAAACACCAGAATTTCATTCTTCACAGACTTGCTTCCATAATATGTTAGTATGTACAAACTATAAATTACAGTATGTAGTAGGTCTATGCTTACTCACTTATTTATTAGCTATATTTTAATAGGCTTATTATACAAAAATGAGAAAATCCGTTAATTTGCATTACGCATTTGTTAAACGAATTCTTGTTCCCTCACCGAACAGATTCTAATATCAAATAGGATTACTCAGTGACAGGTTCATGAAGACTAAGCCGACCATGTCTCCTAATTTCTTTTTTAAATTATTTAAAACTATAAATGAAGTAAAAAATTATTTTAAATATAAGTCTGATAGTGAAATTTCCGGCATTCTAGAGGTTTCATAATCATAAATTATCTTACCTCAATTACACCCTCCATCTGTGAAAGTCCCGCCCTTCCCCCACCCCCTCTATTTCGAATTCTTAAATCCTCCACTGTTACTGGTTCTCTTTCCATACATCAATTTTTTTATATTCAATTACACATCATCCCTGAAACTATTATTACAACTGAATGTATTACAAAATTAAATACACTTTATATTGCCACGTAATTTATTAACACACAGTTGTAAAGTCAATCGCCACCGAGTCATCACGATATAAATACGCTAACACTACATTTCCATATCGTATATACACCATTATTTTTATAGGGTCTATTTCGAAACAGCGCTACGTCTCGCAACTTTTCACAGGACATCCAGAGCTGCAGCAGCCTAGCTTGAGCAAATTTCGTTTTTCCAGACACATCTTCTTTTCAGTACTTCGACAGCCGAAAACACCGCGCCCCTATTTTTTATTATATTTTGTTTTCAAAGACTAGCCTAGGCGCCTCTACAACAATCTCGTGCACCAGTCACAGAGCATGCACAGATAGACACTGGCCATGGTAACTACGCAGATCAAAATACCTAGGCCTCTGGATGCCTTCCAGTGGTAGTTGTCAGGTTCTCGGAAATTTTCATTTCAAATTTAGCGAAAATTGTGTATATACATGTTTTGTCTTTGAAGTCCGTGTTTTCTAATAATATACAATTCTTTAAATATGTCTTTTATCGCTATCTCTTGTAACGTTGTCGGTGAAATAGCTAGCACTATGTACTTGAAAAGTCCAGAGACGGCTGGTTCAACATATGACCTATAAATTTAAAAACATTGATAAATGTTCTATAGGTTCACTGGCTAATTTATATTTACTTAATATGAACAATAAACATGGGAGTTTTATCTCTGTTAGTAGAGAAATGAATAAAATAAAATAAACAGTAACAACCATAATATAATAAGTTTAAATGGCGACCCTCAAAAAGAAACCTCATTGTTGAAACTAACAAGATTCTAACAGTATTACTCTTTATAATGAAAAATTATAATCCAACAATTTCATTAACGTACATTCATAACATTGTGTATAATTTTTTGTACTGTAATCTATAATTTAATTACTTTAATTTATTGTGATATAATGTGCAAAAAAAAATAATTATGTAATGTAAATGTTATTTTCTGTGTAAATTAATCATTGACTTTACTTATACTTGTTTCAAAAAATGAAAACAAGTTTTAATAATGTATGTAACTGCATCTGTAAGTAAATAATTAAGTATAAAGTAACAATCACACACTAAACTTACTTTGATTCATAGTGACCATCTTACCGGACGTGTAGAAAACCGATGTAGGACACTGCCCTCTAATGTTGGAAAGAAAAAAAAATCACTTTGTAAACACACACACACACATACATATATATACATATACATATACATATGTTATATATGTATATATATATATATAGATATATATATATATTTGTATATATATATAATATA